TTGTTGTATTTAGATTTCTGTTAACTGTGAAGAGCAGCTAAGGGTGAGTCAGGCTCTTCTTGGTGGTTGTTTATTTTTGGCCCTTTGGTGGAGAAGGAAGTGGTGGCTGTCACTCAGTAAGTGAAGCTGCAGGAGGTATGGGTGTAGTTGTGTTGTATGGGGACTGTTACTGTCTCCCACTCAGTTAGACAAAAATAACAATTGAATAACCATCAAAAACATAAAAGCAAATGGACAAAAAACACACCATGTAATCACACAGGAACAATAACTAAAGAAAGAAAAAAGGGGGAAAACAAAACAAAACAATAAAAAACACCGCAATATCTGGGGAGAGGGCAGTAAGAGAAAAAAGGTGGAGAAGGAGAATAATGAAGGAAAAAATAGGAAAAATGCAAAAAGAAAAATAAGGAATGGGGTTCTTCCATTTGTTTTAGCCACTCACCATTGAAGGGCAAGATTCAGAGTCTCTTCTGACATCTGTTGTGGTTTTTTCTTCCTTTTCTGTCTTTTTAATGACCTTTTGCTTTCTCCATGGATGATGATCTTGATGTCATCCCACAATTCCTCTGGTTTTCAGTCATTGATGTTGAATGCATCAAATCTATTCTTTAGATGGTGTCTAAATTCAGGAGGGATATAATCAAGGACATATTTTGGCTCTCGTGAACTTGTTTTGTCTTCACATTCAACTTGAACTTGGATATGAGAAGTTGATGGTCTGTTCCACAGTCAGCTCTTGGCTGTGTTTTCGGTTAAAATATTGAGCTTCTTCATCATCTGTTACCACAGATGTAATCTGTCTGCTTCCTGTGTATTCTACCTGGTGAGGTCCATTTATGTGGTTGAAAAAAGGTATTTGCAATGAATAAGTTGTTGATCTTACAAAATTCTGTCATGCAATCTCTAGCCTTATTTCTATCACCAAGTCCTTATTTTCCAAATAACTACCAATGATTTTTCTTTGTTTCCAACTCATGCATTCCAATCACCAGTTGCATGTTTTGTCAATTTAAGACTGCAGAAGTTGGTAAAAATGTTAAATTTCCTCATCTTTGGCTTTGGTGGTTGGTACATAAATTTGAATAATAGTACTATTAAGTGAACTTCCTTATAGACGTATGGATATTATCCTATCACTGACAGCAGTGTACTTTATGTTAGATCTTGAATCATCTTTTCTGATGATGAATGCCACGCCATTCCTCTTCAATTTGTTATTCCTGGCATACTAGATCATAAGCTTGTCTGATTCAAAATGGCCAAAACCGGTCCATGTCAACTCACTAATGCCTTGGATATCAATCTTTATGTGTTCCATTTCATTTTTGATAATTTCCAAGTTTCCTAGATTGGTACTTCATACATTCCATGTTCTGATTATTAATGGATATTTGCAGCTGTTCTCATATTGAATCTTGCCACATCTGCAAATGGAGATCCTGAAAGATTTACTCCATCCACATCATTAAGGCTGTCTCTACTCTGATGAGGCAGCTCTTCCCCAGTTGTATTTTGAGTGCCTTCCTAACTGAAGGGCTCATCTTCTGGCACTATATTGGACAATGTTTCAGGGCTGTTCATAAAGTTGTCCAGTAATAGACAGTGTTTCACTGCTATTCATAAGATTTTCATTGGCCAATTCTTTGAGAAGTGGATGGCCCCTTCCTTCTTCTGAGTGTATTAGTTTGGAAGCTCTGGTGAAACTTGTCCACCATGGGTGACCCTGTTGGTATTTGAAATACTGGTGCCACAGCCTCCAGCCTCACAAGCACATGTAAGCCACCACAGTATAACAAAGTGACAGATGAGTTTCCTTAGAGAAAATAATTTTGTACTGTAGTTAATCAATTTGTGGCTAAAAAGTAAGGCTCAATTAGAATAGAAAGAAGTGTTTTAAATTAAAACCATGGCTATAAAACTATGACCATAATACAATGAAACTTCTAGAGCAGCACTGTTCAATAGAAATGCCATGTGAGTCACAAGTATAATTTAAAATTTTTTTGTAGTCACATTTTAAAAATTTAAAGAAATTGATGAAATTAATTTTGACAATGTATTTTATTTAAATATATTCAAGATATCATTCCAGATGGTAGTCCACAGGTTACCTGTTCGAACTCACCCAGCAATACCGCAGAAGATCCAGGCCTGGTGAGCGGCTTCAGTCAAGATTACAGTCAACTGAACTCTGTAGAGTATGGAGTCTTTCCAAATGAACACATAAATAAAGAAATGTCTCAAGATAACATTTTAACAGGTAATCAATATAAAAAGCTATTGAGATGTTTTGCATTTTTTAAAGAATAAGTCTTTAAAATTTGGTGTGTGTTTTATACATATAGCATATCATAATTCAGAAAACCCATGCTCAAGTACTTAATAGTCAAACATAGGTCTATGCTAGTGTTGTTGTTTTGAGTATAACAATTCTAGAGAATATATTAAGTGTTGGAATGATAGTAGATGTTCATTATGGTTGTGAAACCAATATTATTTCCCTCAACAAATTAGTACTGATTCTTTAGGAACAATGGATAGTAATACTTAGGTTAAGCCTTTTCTTCTGAACCTAATAATGTATTTTCTTATTTAAGTATATATACATCATTAATGTTCACTTAGGAGCTCTGGTATCATAGTGCCTGAGGCACTTGACTGCTAACCAGAAGGCTGGCGGTTCAAACCCACCAGCAACTCCTCAGAAGGAAGATGGGGCAATCTACTTCAGTAGTGATACTGCCTCAGAAACCCAAGGAGGGGTCGCTATGAGTCGGTCCGACTCGACAGCACATAACAACAACAACAACAATGTTCACTTATAAATTTATTTTATAAGCCATTTGAGTGTTAACTATTGATATGTTGTTGTTGTTGTTGTTGTTGTTATGTGCCGTCGAGTCAGACCTGACTCAAAGCGACCCCTCCTTGGGTTTCCGAGGCAGTATCACTACGGAAGTAGGATTGCCCAACCTTCCTTCCGAGGAGTGGCTAGTGGGTTTGAACCGCCAGCCGTCTGGTTAGTAGTCAAGTGCCTTAGCCACTATGCTACCAGAGCTCCCAAATATAGCTACATTGAACCTCTAGACACTTAAGCAGTTATTTCCTAAAACTTAACAGTGATAATAATACTGTTATCAAATATACAGTACATATTCAAATTTCTCCAATTATCCCATTATGGCCTTGAGAGTTAACCTCCCCTCTCCCTTCCCAGAGTCCAGTTGAGGATTACACATTGCATTTATTTGTCATGTTTCTTCAGTTTGCTTTTATCTAGAACAGCTCAACACCTTTAAACTTACATTTTTTGTCTTTTATGACTGACTAGAAACAGGGTCCAGGCCAATTGTGTATAATGTTATGTTCTTAGAGCATCACACCAGGGGACAGATTACGTCATTTTACCCCATTGGTTGTAATGTTAAATTGGATCATTTGGTGTCTGCTAGAATTTTCCATTTTAAAAGTAGGGTTTTTTTTTTTTTTTCCCCTTTTGCAATAAATAAGTAATCTATGGAGTGACTTTTTTATTTGTTTCTTTTGTGGGATGATATTTTGAGACTATAAATATTCTGTTCCTAACTGTCTAACCTAGTCAGTTTTAGCATACATTGATAATTCTTGCTTGAATCAATTACTATTATGTAAACTGGTGATTTTCTATTTTTATCATTCTTTTTACATTTATTATAAGTGATATTTTTATGTGAAGAACTTTTCTTAAACCCCCACACACTTTTATTTCATTGTTAATATCTGTGTGGACTCATGGATCCTTTTTATTCAGTGTGTTATGCAGGACATTCTTACCATTTTACATTTTTGGACATGTGCTAGGAAATACTACTTTTTTTAAAAAAAATCATAATTCATATTTATAGTTCCAATTCTAATCTCATACCACAGGATTCTTCCTCTTTTCTCCATTCCATAATTGTGTTTCTTCATTCTGACATTGAGAAAGGACCCTGGTTCCAAAAATCATTATATTTAGTTGCTCAGTTCTACAATACACAGATTGTAAGGATGGTGCAGGACCAGGCACCGTTTTGTTCTGTTATACATAAGGTCACCGTAGGTCAGGGCCAACTTGATGACACCTAACAAGGTGCGCCTGACACAAGCCATGATATTTCCAATCGCCTGGTATGCATGTGAGAGCTGGAAAATGAATAAGGAAGACTGAAGAAGAGTTGATGCTTTTGAGTTGTGGTG